CCCCCCCCCCCCCCCAATCTATAGATTGACATAATTAGAAAATTTTGGGCCATAGCTCTAGCTATAATATCTTGCCCCAGTCCCACTTGGTTGTCTCGGCGCGTCATAAAGTAGTATGACTATCTGTTTATTGGGCCTAATATTTACTTTAGGTCATCCGAAAATAGGCATGACTCTCCTGGTTCAAAATGGTGATCATTTTCTATTTGGGGGGCAAACCATCAGAGCCTGCTTTCCTATGCCATTTCACTGAACTCTTATGGAAGTTTTTAGAAACAAATGTGCTGGCTTTACTCATTCTTTCTAAACCAGCCGTGTTAGATGATTCGTGAGACTAAATGAGATACATTAATTTAACAATCCATATTAGTCGGTACAAGAGTCACTAATATTTGAATCTAATTGCTTGAAAAAAGATTATTGCATATTGGCATATGTATTGTTATGATTAAAGAACACATATTCCAATAATCACCCAGTAATTATTTATGCAGTGCCCTTTCTTTTTTTCCTGAAAAGCTGGATTTCTATTTTCTACAGAGCAATGTTATTTGGGTTTAACTTGATAATTTAATTGGTTTGACCTATTCTATTGTGGGTCTCAATATTTGGTAGAGATTACTGCCAATTCAACAATAGCAATGGATAGGCAGTACATTTGGTGAGCAAATTAGATCCAATTAGTAGCGGCAAGTGTACTGCTAGTGGTGATTTTAATTCCAACATCTTTAATTATAGATGTCATGCTAAACTAAAGTAATAATGATATTCATACTTAATTTAGAATTGTGACAGTTGAATTACCAGTAAATTTCATTCAATAATGAGGATGACAACTAATTCAACTATCATAATTGATTACATCCTCGTATTAAATCTTCAAGTAAATTCTATTAATGTTTGGCTCAAAGTAAATATGTCAGTAAAGTATTGAGAAAGAAATAAAGAGCAGCTAAAATGTTATGGACCAATAATTCAAGAATCTCTGGTTCTCAGCTTAATTATGATGTTTCTCTGATCAATCCATTACACCATGTGCACAGTTGGATCAATTAACCACATTTTTTGTACCTCACTCACGTTCACTGTACATTCCTACAAGTTCAATTTCTACAGAGCAAGCTTGAGGTCCAAGCCATCACCTCCATCTTCTTTAGTTTTATCCTGTGTCTCAGAAGCACTTGCTATGTCGATTTGAGGACTTTTGGACGGAGCTTCCTCCATGAAATCTTCCGGTCGGAATGACGGCGTCCAAACCTCAACCGCCTTCTCTTCGGTGGCCTTCTTGTCTGCCTCCTTTGTTTGATCAACCCTGCCGGTCATAAGTTCCCGCAATTCTCGTGTGCTTCTGATCAATGCGAAGAACTTCTCCGTCTTCTCTTCTTCATTCTCTACTTCGCTATCCATCTTCCTCTTCCTTCTTTCTCCCTCCATATATTGACAGATAGGTTAGAGGAAGAGAACAGAGAGAGAGAGGGAGAGAGAGAGAATGGCTATGGTCTCATTGCTTAACGAACTACAAACACATCCAGCCCGAGAGAGAGACAGAGAGGTACTTATAGAGTGGTGAACTGCTTCAGTTTACGTTGACTTGGTGCACTGAAGTCAATGATTAATGCTTGGATAGAAGATAAATGTGAACAAAATCTATTTTGTGCAGTAGAGCCGGTATGTCGTAGGAATGTGATCTGTTCATTGAAATGACGAAAATAGCCACGCGCGCACTATTACTGATTTAAATTAGTCGCTATATATGGTGGTAATGCTAATAGTAATAAAAATTTTATGGTTTTATATTCAAATGGTATCACTTTAATTTGGATTGCATTGCATCGTATCATTTTAGATATTGTATGGGTGGACATGTATAACCCATTGTTCTCTCTCGACTAAATCTATTAAAGATAGGCTTCCATAAACTAAAATTTTAATTAATGTATAATCTATTAAAATTTTATAAAAAAAATCATTTATTCTATTTAGATCAATAACTAAAAATTACATGAATATATATATACACATTTAATTTTTTTTTTTTTTTACATTTAGCTCATGACATTTTAAAATATGTTCAAGTCGATGTGTAAGCATTGTGAATCCGATTTCTTACCGTTAAATTCAAATGGTCATTCGCTAACCTTACTAGCAAAGTACATGAAAAAAAGAAATTGATTGCGACCTTAGTTTGAACCGTAAGGACTAGTTTTTGACTCATAGTGCGTTTTAGCTTAACTCAAAAAAAAAAAAAAAAGTAAACCAAAAGTGGGGGATGATATTGTAAGATAGATAGAAAACTTTGGGTAAATATTTGGCTTCCTTGAATGAATCATTTTTCTTTCTATCTCTCTAAATGACAGGCCTTAGTCCATATAATAGTTAACACTCTATTCTATCTCAAAAGAATTCATTACATATAGATCACAAATATAAAAAAAAAATTCTAATTAACCCACTTCCTACTCAAATCAAATACAAAGTACTAATTTTATAAGAATTCTTGCAATACTATACAAGCAAATGAACACATCAAAATCTGATATGTTTCTTATATAACACTAAATAAATGAATTTCTTTTTAAGTACAAAGACCTAATTGTCCTCATGTACAATTGTCTTTTTAACGTTATAAGGTTATAATTGTTTTTTTACGGGTCATAGTTGTAATTATTAATTTTTTTAAGTAGGTATTATACCAATAATATTTGTGACAAATAAGTAAAGAGAAGGATGAGATTATAGTTTAAAATCGAATATAATATATCATTGAATCATAATAAAATAAATATAAAATTTTATACCACCTAAATTTTATACTTGAAACAAACGGCCCACGCTGTCTTAAATTATCATCCATAGGATAGTTCCAATTGCCAAAGGTATTTTGATAAATTTGAAGGGGTGGATCGGTACAATTAGGAATCTAATCATGACGTTGATGACCGATGCCGATACCCACAACAGCGATAAAACATAATCACTTCCACCAAACGTGACCGTCCTGACATAAGCTATGTGGCGTCTTGTGGTGCGGCTTGGCTTGTTTTAGTGAGGGGTGGGGACGTCACCGAGACTTATGGGCTCGTTTGATTGTCTTATTAAATATAAATGAATCGGATAAAATAATATAATATAAATAGATAAAAAAAATTAAATATAACATTAAAATAATATATAATTTTATTTAATATTTGATAATATACAATATAAGCATTAGATAATAATTATTTAATTTAATCGGTTGTTTAATTAAAAAATTATTTTATCATATTAATATTAAATTAATAAAAATACTTTTAATCAGTGTTTGTTACATTAATGATAGTTTAATTTTATCAATTGGGCGTTATCATAATAAATGTGTAAAATAATACATTTGAGTTGAATTATAATATCACATCTCTTTGTGGTATTAAAAGACCTGCATAATACAGTTTTATCGTACAAAAAAATATACGATAAATATACGATTAACATACGTTTTTTTTAAATTAATACGGTATCAAATTTACTTACCAAACAAAATATTATATCCCATTAAATAAAAAATAGTACAATTTAATATTTAATCCCCTCATAATATCTCAGCCAAACGAGACCTATGTGTATCATATTAAGAGCATCTCTAAATTTAAAATGTGTTACATAAAATTCCAATAAAGAATGGGTAAAAATTATAATTAATCCTTAAACTTTCAATTATCCTGATTTAGTCTTTTAAATATTAATTTTATCTCAATTAAGTCCTTCAATCAATTTCCATTGTTTGAACAATCGGAGATAGACGCAATATGATCCATTTTAGCGTTAATTTAATGGAGGAAATAGAAGAAATGAATTAATTGAGAAAAAATTGATAGTTGAGCGACAAAATTAAAACAATTCAAAGCTAAAGGACCAAATTAAAATCAAAGGCAAAGTTCAAGGACCAATTATAATTTGAACTCATAAAGAAACTTAAATTTAAATAAAAACAAATAAAATAAAATATGATTATTAGATATTTAAATAAGAATGAAATCTAACTATTAATGATTTGATTAAAAGATTGAGTCTCACTTAATTTGAGTAAAAATTTAAGTTTCTCTTGATTTGGTATGAGGTTGAGTATAGCATTGAATAAAATTTTTAAGAATTTTTTTATCCAAATTTAAATTTTGGTTTAAAAAAGAATAAAGACTAAAAATGCTCTACAAGGGTCATATTATGATACAGATGAACTAATTTCATACTATATTTTTATTTTTTTGTTTAATAAAAAAAACGTGTAAGTATTTTTTTAATTTTATTATTTTGTTTAAATTCATCATTTTTACAGTTAATTTTATTCAAATGTATCACAATAAAATTTATGACTGTTAATAAATTTAGATATAGTATCAAAGTTTAATTTAAAAGTTATGTAGCCTTAACCCTATTTAAGGAGAAATTTTGTGTGGATTTAACATTCATCACGAAAATACCATGTGGTGACACATCCAATCAAAAATAGCTAAAAAAGCAACTTGTGGGACGCACATGTTGCATTTTCCCAAAAAAAAAAATAATAATAATAATAAGACAAGTTGATAGGTGTCAATAATTCATTGTACATATATATTCTTTTATTGCTAATGGACACAACATTATACTACCATATGATGTGCTAAACCTATACACAAATTTCTCCTATTTAAGACTCAGACTTGGGCATGCTCAGGACACATTTCCATTAAAATTTTGGTTTCACAGATGTGAGGTTAAGATTGCAAAAAAGAGCCATGTCATTGGCTTAGTATTGGGAATCTAAAGGTTGAAGCCAAAAGCTATTTTCTTGATACTATATCTGAATATTTTGTTCAATAAAAATGTAATATCATAAATTTTGTTATTATTTTATTTTATTTTATTTTATTTTGTTATATTTACGATCAATTGACTAAAAACGAATCAAACTAAGATCTATGACAACTAATCAGTTTTGATATGGTACTCTAGTGTTTTGTGTGGATACATATAGCGACAACAACAGATCGGGAAAAAATGGGTATTCGTCCAAATTTGTCCGATTTGGACCGGGGATGGACTATACGTATTGGATGGTGGACATATACAGGAATACCCGTATAAACCAGTGCGGGGATAGACTTACCCTTATCCCCTCCCCGCCTTTGCCCTGTCCCCGTTACTTGTTATGTGTATATATATATATATATATATATATATATATAATCAAATAGGTAATATACATTACCATAGTTAATAAGTGCAAACATTAGCAACAATCCTTAACTTCATTGAACAATATGGATAATATCAGGCCTCTTAAAATTAATAAGGAGTCCAAAAAAAATAAAAAAAAAAAAAAAGAAAGCCAAAAAAATTGTTCTGGGGCTTCACAACAGAAATTTAAATTCATTTCTACTTTTGGTATGACTTCCGTGGTGCAATTGTCATTCGAGCAACATGCACACAACTACTCATAACAATTCTTTACTCCATTGGTTCTACTAGATAACTGACTTGTAGCCATTTTAGATATCCATGACTGGTAATTGATTATGTGTCATCAATCCTCTAAGAAACAGATTATTGAAATAAAAATGCAAAAAAAATGGTAAATTAAGAAACTAAAGTTCCAAGATTTATGACATTTCAGGATTTATATAAATATTTAACACACTGTAAGAGCTAAGAGCTTTCTTCAAGAATGATATTTTGATGATTTTTTTGTCATATGAAATCAGACGAAAAAAATGCTAATGCTAATTTGCTAGCTCTATGTTGGTTTGGGCTTGGGCAAGTACAGGGGAAGCTGGGATGGGGATAAAAATTATATCCGTTAACGGGGGTGGACCGAGGATGGACGAAGATTTTTTAAGCGGATACGGGGATGAAGACTATACCCCCTGCCCCCGCTTCAGTCCATTGACATCCCTGGATATATAGTTTTTTTCTAGTTTTGGTTAAATATGTTGTTTTAATTGGACAGATATAATGAAAATAATTCCCAGTTATAACTTTTTTTCTTGATTTACGTATAGTCATTGATTATAAAATAATAAAATTAAATTAAATAAAAAAATAAAAAAATTTACTCAAATCATGTTTTTTATTGGACAAAAAAAAGAGATATGGTACTTGTTGGTGCATAAATCTACCCCAAACTCTGTGCAAGTTGATGAGCTGGTCTTCTTCATCTTAGTCACTCTTTCCAAGTAATTTGAGGGGGTTAGCAGAGTGTAGACCCAAGTAATTTGAGGGGGTTAGCAGAGTGTAGACTTGGCTCTGTGCGACTTCAAAAGAGGATTTTGTGAAATAGAACATCTGAAAAGGAAGTTGAAGATGGGAGGGGGAGCTGCAAGGGTTGACCCTCAGATACTTAAGTTAGTGTTTGCTAAAAGGAATCTCAAGATAGTAGCTAAGAAAGTTCTTGCATCACTGCTTGACCTCAAAAG